TTCTTCACGAAAACCACATGCGAAGCCCAAGGGGAGGCGGAGGGTCGTATGATGTCACGCTCCAGCATCTCTTCAATCAGCTTGTGAACCTCTTGCTGGCAATGTATAGAGAGCCTCTTTGGTGGGGTGCGGATCGGGAGGGAGCGTTACCAGTTTCGATGCGGTGGCGGACGAGCTTAGGGCGGCCTATGTCGGTGCTGCTGTGGGCCAAAATCTCCGGGAACTCGACTAGTAGTTTATCAATGTAATTTGATAGGTGATCATTCGGTGATCGGCCGAACGTGGGAACCTTGGCGACGTTGGAGACGAGCCCTCTGGGGTTGTGGTGGTGGTCAATGCGAAATACTTGGGGTCCTATGGGGATTTTGTCTGAGCCAATATGGAGCTGGGCATTCTGATCATAGAGGAAGTTAATTTCCAGGATAGCAGGCCACGGAATTTTATACACAATGATCATTGGGTGATGGGTCTTCAGTACCCCCATGGCAACTGGTACCGTGGTTTGACCCCGAATCAGCATGGGAGTACCGTTCGCTGCAATGAGTCGAAGATGTGGGGATTGACGACGAGGTGCTTGGGCGGGAACCACGTCAATGCAAATCAAGGAACACTCTGCTCCAGTGTCGACGAGGGCAGTAGTTGGAGTGTCCCAGGCATTAATATCAATGACGGGAACCGAGGACAACAAAGAAGTATGGCACGCACACAGAGAAATGGTGGACTCACCGGGGCGGTTATGGCCACATGCTCCTGCGTCGGTTCCGAACCGCTGGCAGTAGTAGCAATTCGTGAGCGACGTCCGAGATGTGGGAAGAGGTTGGCGTGATGGGTACCACGGGCGGCCTTGGTTGTAACGCGGCCGGAAGGGACGTTGCGGGCGACAGCTACTAACGGAGGCGATTGTTGGTGCTTCGGGTAGCTGATCGCGACTGAGTACAGCCTCAACCTGTTCCAGGCGCCGGGCGGCGTCCAATGCTGCCGCTACGATAGGTGGTGAGTTGAGGAGGAAGCGGCGTCTCACCGGTGGATCCCGCGTACTCACCAGAATCTGCGTGAGCACCTTCGCGTCGCGGTCGATGGAGTCAGTGTCCGGGAATGCTTTCACTGCTAGGCGACGAAGTGCACGAACAAACGAGGCCAGCCGTTCGCCAGGGAGTTGGATGAAGATTTGGAAATGATGAACGAATTCCGCTGCATAGAGGCGATCTGTGAGACAATCCCGAAGTCTCTGGAAGGTTTCTGGGGTGATGGGCACATCGAGTACACCTTCATCGCGCACAATATCATTGACCTCGCCCTCAATGAGGGACAGTAGCACAATTCTGCGGTCTGATGTCGGAACAAGTTCGATATAGTCCTGGGCCGCCCGAGCCCAACGGCGGAAATCATCCCCCGTGTGAAACGTTTCAGGTAGGGGGACAGAAGGAGTAGATTGTGTCCGTACGATTTCGGAGTGAATGACTGAGGAAAAAAGAGTGAGAATGCGTTGCATGAAAACGCCAAAAAATGATGTGGGATGTTCGGGGGATTCCTGTTTCTCGGCATCACTCTTCGGATTGCGATGTATCCTGGCAGGGTCACCAAATCTGTGATATGCTATGGTTCGTTACCAACCAAATTGGGTATAGATTCCGTGGCGTGCAATCTGGAATTGACGACAAGGGGTTGTAGGTTCGGCATCACCCGTAGCACGCTCACACAGGTCGGAAACACACGGAGAACCACAGGATGGAACAATTGGAACACAGGTTTTACAGCGGTTAAACGCAGTCGCGGGGGAAGCAATTCGCAAGCGTACATAAAAATCGATGAAATCAATAGCTTGTTCTCGTCCTGGTTTCGGTCTGTTTCGTTCGGGTCTTCTTTCGGTTGTTCTTGCCAAACTGGTGCTGAGATACCTGTAAGGCAACCGAGAGAAGGGTTGAAGTTAGGGGCGGTCAGTTCGTTCTACCGTGGTGCGCTACAGTACGAGCGTCAAAGTGATCGTTGGAATGAGGTTGCGGAATTTATACTTTCCGGACAATGTCAATTGAGGTTAATTAAATCAAATTAAACTTTACCAAATAACTCGGAATCAGCCAAAAGCAAAATCTGTTCCATTTCGCTTGAATTCGGCCTTGCTTTTTCTATCCTATATTTAAACAGATCGTTTCTGGAAATCTTAATAGCTGGGATGCACGTTACTATCTCACCACAACCGTCCCTTCGGGGACTTTGACTTGCATGAACATCTCCTCGATATCAGACTCTACCGCAACTGACCTCAGACGAAATCTGTAGCGTTTCTTCAACCGACAGTTTCGCAACGGCAGTTTTCTTTTCTTACCTC